CGATGGCTAGAAAGCGCTACGATTTTGATAACACCATTGAATATTACTGGTGAGAGGACGTTGAGAGGCTGTCCTAAGCTTGTCTTTCCCTCCCCTCCCCCAGCGCACAGAAGGGTCTGATCAACCAATGGCGTTCCGTGACGTCATAAAGCCGAACCGCTATCCAGCAACAAGCCATAGCGATCACTGACTTGGATTAATTTCGGAGAAAAACGACGGACGGGAACATTTTTGACTCCTGTGGCTCTATTAGCTAGTTCTATCGAATACGAAGAAGCGGTAGAATTACCTCATCTATGCCCATTTTGACGTCAACGGTGAAATTCTGGTGTTCCGGATGGTAGATCTCATCTTCCATGATAGCTAATGCTGTAGAATTAACCATGCACGTCATAGTGATGGCCAAATGTATTCGCATGTAAGTCGTGCAAGAGAATCCGGTCGCCAGAAGCATGAGAAAGTAAAATCGTCGGGAGTACGGATGGAAGAGTGCTGCAATTAGCGAAACTGTTGGAATAATCAATATTTACAGAAATGTTCGTTCACTTTTTCTTATTTTCTCAATCATTTTAAAGGTTCCCGTAGAATTACGTCCAGGTGGGAGAGTATCGAAGAGTTACTGATTCATGGGAAAGTGGGCGGGGCCAGTATCCGAATATCGAGATGCACTATTAAGCGTTCTGCATGGTTCTTCACGGTAAGCAACATCTATGGTATTTCTTTTCAAGAGCACGGTTATTTGGTGATCACTTCTTGAATTCCATAGAGGTTCCCTTCATTCTTTTGCTTGCAATGCTTCTTCGTCACCACGTCACTCGCCTGGCCGAAAAGATTATTTTATCAACTTTCGTCCTTTTTGATAAGCCGAACGGAAGTTTGAAGATGAGCATGCTTCTAAGTGGGCCCGTCAAATGAATTTGGACTTCTATATTGCAGACAAAAGATTAAAGTTGCTCGCGGTGACGAATCATCTTTTGGGATTGCGCCGTGCGTCCTGCTCACATTCGAACTGCAGTGAGATGTGAATGCGATATGGCCTTTTCAATAACTTGCGAACGCAAGTCGTTCAGTCGTTCAAACAGCCAGCTTACCGTCATCAGTTAGCTGATCTCAGAGAAATAGAGAAATGGTAAATGACGCCACTTGCCGGTGCTCCTTTCTGCCCCTTTGTTCAAATATTGTGTGGAGAATGTCATAAATCATATG